CACCACCAGTTGCTAAGGAAAAATCACTATAAAAGTGATTACTAAAGCTCCAGTCATGCATGGCTAGAAATTGGTGCCCATCGGTCACAGTTTTTCCTATTATTATTAAAACCCTTGTTTAAAAATTGCTTTTCTTATTTACTCTGGTTATCTTTGTCTAATATTAAAATTAGACACATAGAGAGAATAGTGCCTTTAAACAGTTATAAATCAGGAAGGAGGCAAATACTTTTTAGCCATATATTTTATGCACTGCAGTGAAAGGCTAGTGCAAACCAACAAGCTGTGACAGCAGTGAGAAATGGCTCACCAGCACCATCAAAATAAAATTATTAGTAGCTTACAAAATAAATGTGTTTTAGTTAACTAACTAAATATTGTGTGGTGCTTGTGCTGAGGTTTCCACACCCTACAGGAGAACTGCGTCTAGATGCTCCAGACTGTTTAGGCAATCAGACTCTTGCACCTTAATAGCAACACATACAGATACACCCTAGACACACACACACACTGGCAGCCTGAACAGGGACTGTCGCAGTAAATTTATTAGTACAACAGTTTAATCAGTCTCATCTGTTAATGTCTTGCACAGTAAGTCTAATTTACTCCTTGTGCGCATCTATTCATTATTTATAGAAGTATTAATTATCATTTGCAGTCCCGAGAGTAACTGGCGACCTACTACGAAATAGAAACACAAGTAGATAGAGCTTAATGAATTATTTGCTTTGTTCTGGCTGAGGAGAAAAGGAATGACGTGTCTCGTTTTAATCACGGGGCTATTGTTCTGCTGCTCTGTGGGTCTCCTTCTGTTACCCTATAAGTATTGCTTGCGCTGACTCTTGCAGTCATGTATACAGTATTATAGCATGCACTTCCAGCCATCTCAGTCCTGCAAATATTTGGTATACAGGCTCCTCGTGTTTATTCAAAGTACTGGGTTACACTGTTTGGGAAAGATAGCCAGACAAGGGCCCGTTGGGAAGGAAAAAGAAAACTATTCCAAATGAAAAGAAATGATTCATGCCGCTGATAGTGTATAAACTAAAATATATGTTGGACCTCGCAGCACTATTGGACAGTTCCACTTTATGCAATTTTGATTGGATCTGAACATTGCATAGACAACTTAGTATCGCATTACTCTAAATATGGCAGTGCGCGCTCTTTGGTGTGTGTGTGTGAGTGAGTGAGACCAGAGTGAGGTGGGTGGTCTCCGCTCACTTATCATTACACAACACAAAAGCCTCATTGGTATTTTGAGAAGAAAATTAATATTGCCATCAGCAGCGGCTCTTGCGTGTGTGCCTCCATGCTCGGACCTGTTTGTGTACTTCCGAAAAACGGAGTGGAGAATTTCCACTTCAGATGTGGAATTTTCCCAGCCTGAACTTTGAGCGATGGCATGATGCTGCATGACGACATTGCAGCCATCACTGGGCTTGCTCCTCACTGACAGCTCTGAAGGCAGCTTTTCCATTTGAAGCGAGAATGAAGGGAAAATCTGCGGTTTGTAGGCGCGCTGTCTCCGGTTTAACTTAAAATATTTTCTCAGCATCCTCTTTTTTACTCTTCTTACCTGGCCGGAGGTAAAACTGACAGTGGAAATGTTGCAGCTGAGTTACCAGAAACTCACAATATGCGGCCAAAGGACGTGCTTTTTTTTCTTTGATTACCATCCCGTTTTGACAGATTTATCCAAAATCTTCGCTAACACTTCATTTTATGAAAGCCTGCATTTAGTAACTATACTGAGGAAATAGACACTGACAGGAAACATGCTGAAGGCGAGACAGGAAATATGTTAACTTTCCAATAAGTTCCAAGAATCGTTCAGCAATTTAGCATAAAATTTGGTGCAAATTACAGGAGAAAGTGACATGAAAGGAAATACAATTATAAAGTTCAATGCCTCGAGCCATAAAAAAACAAAAATCCTGGTTTTAATTTGGGCTTTTTCCCCTTTCGAGGTCGTGTCCTCTTGCACATCTGGATAGCTTCCAGTGCTCCTGCTACTTTTAGATCGCTCTGTGGTTCTTGCACTTGTGGCTCAATCATCACTCTCTGTGAAATGACCTGACGTTCATGTCAATGATCTTTACTGGTGATGGGAGCTGGGTCTTTGGCTACAACTCAGCGTCAAAACAGCAGTTCTCAGTGGAAGATCCCACAGCGGCCATGCTAACAGTCCATGCCTCAGGTCAGGAGTGCAACATTCGACACCCACGGGGTCATGCACCCCATAGCATCAGACTTTCAGTGTGATATTCGTGCTGTGAGTTACTGGTTGAAATATTTATCCCAAATTACTAAACTGAGGTCATACTATTTGCCATTATGTACCAGGATACAGTGCTTTGAAAAGGAGTGGTTTAGCTAAGCTCTATGCTCCTCTGTGTTTTACCCAAAATGATGCCGTGTTCTATTTACCTCAGAAGTTGGATATTGGATTTGACATCACTCTCTGCATGCGAATGTTCCAGTAATAGAGTCAGAAAACCAAGAAAAACAGGATTTGTTTTGCCTCTTAGCGAGGTAGAGCATGTGTTTTTATGTTTGCAACCGCCATCTTGGATTGCTAACTGAGGGTTGGTGGGACTGCTTCGAATTTTTGAGCTGGAAATCGGACTTGAGCGTTCCAGATGAAAAAAGTTAAGTCTGGGAAATGGAAATTTTAACTTCCTACTTCAAATGGAACTCAGTATGTCCCTGTTTTTGTTTTTTGTTTTGACACAGTGGAGATCCAGGAGACAAGTAGTGGGAACAGGACTTTCCCAGTGTACAGTGACGTTAACCTGAGCTGCATGAAGAAACATGGAGAGATTGCCCTAGCTGTGATTGAAAAGCGATATAATCACATGCTACTGTGAAAGGATGATTTTGTGGTCTGATTATTGAACTGCTTCCTGTTGGAGTGCTACCAAATTACTCGCCGAGGGACTTCCAGCTTGAATCAACACAGTGTTTGGATTCCTCCATCAGCTGAAGTCACCCAAATGACTGTGGTGAATAGATGTGGATAATTAATGGGATTTTTGTTATTTTACTTTAACAGTTAGTATGTAATAGTTGGTACCACACAGTGTAAAAGATGGGTGTATCCATCTACCACTGGTTTCTGGCATTTTGAAGCTTCCATGCTAGCATTTTGGCTGCCACCTGGTTTTTTTTTGATAGGGGTGCAAAGCGCACACACACACACACACACACACACACACACACACACACACACACACACACACGCTAATTAGTGCTAAGTGAATTCACACAGTGAAATGGTTCAATTTAAAGATTCAAAGTAGTGGATGAGGCCTAGCAGATGCTAATCACCTAAACTCACCTGTGTAAGGACACCTGTCAATCAGAAATACCATGCCCTTAACTCAGTTATCCAGCTGGACGAGTTTAAATATAAATCATCACACTCAAGACTTGTTTTGTGGAACACACTATCCACACAGGCCAATATTACTTTTTACACTTCTCGATACTTTAACTTGAGTTTGAGTTTAACATGGGAGTCTATGGGGACTGACTCCCTTTAGGACCCAGCCTAAAATGGCACCCACAGAGATGTAGTCTCCGTTATCCCCGCATTGGCTTCATTTGTCATCTGTAGGGATGGGTATCGTTTAGGTTTTATTCGATACCAGTACCAAACCAGTACTTTTGAAACGGTGCCGGTGCTTAAACAGTGCTTGAACCGGTGCTTAAAGAATGGAGAACACAAAATTGGTCCAAAAACCTCTCATGTTCAGCTGGGTTTTTTTGTAAAAAGATAAAAAAAAAAAATAATAAAAAAAGATAACAAAAAGATAAAAAAGATAAAATGAAATAATGATAAATGATAAGTGATAAAATGATAAGATAAGATAAGATAACAATGTTAGCCTTTTCTGCAGCTATGGGGCATATATGGTATCACTCTTGGCTGGAAGCAGTGCTTAAACAATGGAAAAAACACCAACTTTGTCCAAAAACCTCTCATGTTTAACTGTTTTCCACTTTTTCTTTGGTCATTTTAGCCTTTTTGGCCAGGGTGAAGGGAGTATCTGCCATCAAACAAGAAGACAGCCGCATGTAGCTATGATGATGTTTGCTAGTTCACCTTACATGCATTAATGTAATAACGTGGTTAGCCTACTCAACGTAAATTACACACGAACAACATTAAGCTACTCACGCAGAGAAGAACGGCTGCTGCTGCCATCATCATCCGTCATCATTTCTGCTACACTGGCAGGGCTAGGGGCCAGGACTCTCCTCTTCGGGTTTTTGGGGGATGTTGCTAACTCCAGGTCCGATAACGGGCACCACACCCACAGTAGATGTGCCCGGTGTGAGGTCTCGCAGCAAGCTATCAAATACGGCGCATTTCTCAGCTTTTAACAAAATGCTATACGTCGCCAGGTTCGTCGAGTTAACTTCTTTGCACAGTATCACCTTATAGCACTTGTTGCAGGCTGCTGAGTTTGCATCTTTTGCTGTGAAGTACAGCCAGAGTTTGACCGCCTCGCCGTGGGCGTTTTTAATCTGTAGCTCTGCTCTAAAAGAACATACGTACCTGGGCCCGCCTACTATCCTTGGAAACGTAAAATGATTGGCTAGAATCTAAAGTGTATGACATCTCAGGAAAAAAAAGCACAGAAATAAAGCACCAAAATGTGCGCTGCTTTTCGGTCTGGTTACTACCATTTTATATCAGAACCGATACCGGTACCCATCCCTAGTCATCTGTGAAGGTTGCTCCTTTTTCACCAAGCTCTGATTGAATAGGGAACCCTTTAATGGATGTACCACTCCTTCATAAGTCATTCATGAAATGTTTTCACTCCTAATAGTTACATTTATAGTTATGTTGCTCCAAGTTGGTCAATTGTAACTGTTAAAATTTTTTTATGTTATAGTACACACTATGAACTGATTAGAAAATTTATATAAGAAAATCATTTTAAAAATAGATACTTTTTTTTAAACATCTTAAACAAGAGAGACAAATATTTCAGACATGCTATACATTTTAATAGACATATTGATATTTCTGAAGAGAAACCAAGTTATCCCTACTTTTATTTACAATACAGGAATACAAAATTGTCACATACAGTACAATGGTAAAAACAACATAGAGAATTTAAATAATTATTTTATTTGTGTAACTACTTAAATAATGAAAATGGTTATTCTATTCACACCACGCCGTCTCAGCAGCTACAATGCAACTTTCACATTAAGTGCTAAAAAATTATAATTTTCCATTTTACAGCATGAATTCCTTTTTGATGTTTTAAGACCAGGTACAGTTGTTTTATTTCAGCAAACACAAGGAAAGCAGGAGATGAACAATAAGCACATCATTTATGGCCACTAAACTTCAATTGACTAAACTTCAATTGAAAATCAAGTTATTGAAACTAGATTTTCAAAATAAAAGCTGTGGATAAAGTACAAGGATAAATATTTTCCTTAAAAACTTAAAACAACAGCTGTCAGTTCTGGGAAGACTGGCTTTACGGGTAGTGAAGAAGAAAAGTAAAAAAATTAAATGTTCTTATTAGGAGGAGTCTCGGGTTTGAAAGAATGCATCTATATGCATCTATAATAACAAACACATTCTTAAAATTTCTTGCCTTACTCTGGAAATGCTCACAAGAGAATTTGCACTTTCTTCCTCAGGTTAATGCCAGCCCTGCCTCTGAGCTCCTTCCACACTGACTTGGTGGCCTGTCGAGATCTTTGATCATCTTACTACAGAAGCACAATTCTGACGGTCTTGCTGTGGGGATGGGGGTGGGTGGGTTTTAGATGAGCTTCACCAACTGCTCCGAATGACTATTTGCAGGCACAGACATGCGTTACTTGTACTCTGGGCGAAAAAAGAAAACATCCTCGCGTGTCTTTTATAAAAGCTGCATATGTATAAGTACAACATGAAATGACATGAACTGACGAGCTTAGTGTAAAATTGCTTTCTATAAACACCATATTCTCCCATATATTATTACGCTTAAAAAAATAAACCCTCCTCTATGATAACAATAGTAATGCTATAGATTTTTTTGTAGATTTTTTCTTGTATTACTAAGTAGGTAAGCTCTATTGGAAATATACATCAGCGCGTTTCATCCCTTCCCTTTATAGTTTTGACTTCAGCTTTCTGCTTCAGTGTGTGACGCAATGAAAAGAGTTTGTTAAACCATACCTGTGACAGTGTGCTGTGTGAACGTGTGGAGCTGAAACTACTCTCATTGCGCTTTTAATAAATGTTGAAATTAATTTTGAATAAAAAAGTGAATGAAAGGAAAACGATACAGTGCATGGGAATCGAACACTCCATTCAAATTGCATGAAACTGGCGCTGACAAAGTACAATGTTCTCAACTCGCTCATTCCTACGTCTGTGTGTAGATCCTCTCTGTACACTGATAGCAAATGAGTGATACGTTCTTTATACTGTAAATTGCTGTTTATGACTATGTACCCACAAACTGAACACAACATAAATGAGTCAACACAGCCTTCCTCTTGTTAGTGCTTTTGGAATAGTAAAGCAAAAAGCACTGCAGGCTCTATGAGATGCATGCCTCGTGCTCACAGTCTGAGTGCGTAGACATTTATTTCTTTGCTAGGTTTTCAACGGACCGTGAACACAAACTGCATCTTGAGCCACCCAATTCTGAATCCTTAATGAACTCCTGAATAATCAACTGTCTCCACTGAAATGCCTCAAACTCCATTTTTCGTAAGGCAGCATAAAAGTCTCGGGGTTTTAACAGTCCGCTCCGGCAGAGTTCCTGTTCCTGTGGAGCCAGTGAAGGCGTTTTTAGAGCAGCAGAGGAAATGTCTTAGTGGAACTCATCAATCAGCGCTCTGCAGGGCTCTCTGAAATGTGAACACGGCTTGGATGCCAGGCCTGGTGTTCAGGAACAAGTAGCTTATAGGTAAGGAGAGGAAAAGCTTGGTATGGTGATGTGGTTTAAAAGCAGTCTGATGGGGTCCTGCATGTATGTGTGTGTGTGTGTGTGTGTGTGTGTGTGTGTGTGTGTGTGTGTGTGTGTGTGTGTGTGTGTGTGTGTTTGTGTGTGCTTGCCCGTGAGAATGTGAGGGGAAATTAAGGTGCCATATTTAGCAAACCTCTTTAAGAGTCTTTTGAGGGCAAAAGGTAGATGTGTGTAGACTTGAGGATGGATGATGGGGAGCGGCCCCCTCCGCACACCACTATACGACGTACTTGGTCAGGTCTAAGAGGTACGAGGTCATGTCGATGATGTGGTCCACTATCCCGCCGTTCTCCTGGTCGTTGGGCATACCCCGCTCGCTCTTCTCACACTGGTTGCCGGAGTAGCCACTCTTACACAGGCACTTGTTGGGCTCCACGCAGACTCCTCCATTGCGGCAGGCTGGTTCACATTTGGCTACAGTCACAGGGTATGAGAGAGTGAAAACACTTTAAACTTTGTTTTATTCAGACGTACTCTGATTTCTGATTAGGAAAATTATGGCAGATATTACTGAACATCTTTTCCACATCTGAAGTGAAAGAACACGTCGATGTTGGTCCATGTTATACGCTGAGGGCGACAGATGCACTCTTACCGACTCGGCAGAATTGTCCTTCCCAGCTGGGGTTGCAGCAGCATTTGCCGGTGGGAGTACAGCGGCCGTTCTTACAGTGTCTGGAACAAGCTGTCATCAGCAGCTCCGGTGGCTCCACCTGATGCTGGCACTCCTTAGGGGTGTAAGGCCTGCAGCAATTGTTAAAAAAACAGAAGAAGACAAAGTAAGTATTCAGCAGACAGAAGCCTCTCAATATGGTGATTAAGCCACAGCGACACAGTGACAATTTATTATAACCAAATAAATAATACAAGACATTTCAAGTTAATAACCGGAGAACATATTTCAACTCTTAATAATAATAATAACACATAATCAGAATTGTGTTGATTTATGAAGGGAAAATGTGGTTTAAAGGCATGTAGCTTTGGTATAATTCACTGTTTGGATGACTGCATGTCAAGAGATGTGCTATATGTTGTTTAAATTCTACCTATTAATCAGCATCTGCCTCAAATGAATGAACTGCTGTTGTGTCCAAAACAGAAATCAGTCATTCAGCGTTCACGGGTCGTTTAATTGGGCTTACACAAGTCTGTTTAGAGGTTTGAGCCTCGCCCACAAACACATTTAGTTGCCAGATCACAACAGTTTCTACAAAGTTTCACGCAACCTTTTTAAAAAAAAAAAAGTCCTGTTAAACAAAAAGCTGAGACTAAACAAAAACAAAACACTCATCCAACTCACACTGGCTGAGCTACACAGTAACACTATACCATGATTTAGGATGGGACTGTAGGAAATGTGTTCTATTTAAGCATCTAACACTTGACTGTGATGTATTGTGGTAGCTATTTATTTACCGCAAAGCTATTTTTGAATGGTACAACAAGACAAATCTGCCATCGCACGCTGCGTCCGTGATCTCAGGTTTTCGAGCCTATCAGGTTTTGTTGATATGTAACTTAAGTGGGAAAGCACTTTTGAAGTGAGGGACTTTAAGATGTAAACTTTTAACTTGCCAAGTTAAAAATTTATGTATTTGCTCCTGAAGGAGGCGTGTGTTTCTTTTTCCAGTGACATGCTGTTAAAGTGACGGGGGCTCTTTTTCTACGCATTACCAATTAATAGCAAGTTAATATTTAAGCGTGTAGTTGGGACATGAGCCGCTTCATGTGTGGTTGTTTTTGTTTTGACTTCTTATTCGAAGAACGAAACGACATACGGGGTTAAAGCATGGCTCCCACAGATATGAACACGGTTTGGAAAATGCACACAGACACAAACAGAAACATCTCCACACCATATGTGTCAAGTTTGAACACCAGAGAAGCATATCATTCCATATTAAGACAAACATCCAGACACGCACATCAGCAAATGGGCTGAAACACAATTATTTCATATCACGCTCCTCAAATCTGGAAATAATACAGTGAGTGCGTAATCAAGTTCGAATGTGAAGCGTCTGTTGGTGCGCACACACACACACACACACACACACACACACACACACACACACACACACACACTTGCTAGTGTGTACATTTGTGAAAAGGAGAGAGAGGAAGAAAAATAGATGTGTAAACATTTCTGCTGTACTATACTACAAAACATTGTTGGACATTAAGGCGTGTGCGCATATGTCTGACACACAGGCAGGGTAACTGGACTCTTGTGGACCGGTGCTGGTATGAGAGGCGTGAGCAGTGAGGTCACTGAATGTGTATGTATGTAATTCTCACTCCACGATAGGACGGGCCTCATCAATCATGGCAGGGGAGCAAATAGTCAATCAGCAGGAGAAGCCAAAACTAGATTGAAGACATACAACCAGCAATTTGTATATTAAAGCTCAAATCAGCTATTTTTAGAATACATATTACTTCCATCTGGGTAGCTGTTCCTATGGTAGTCACGTTTTACGTTACAATAACATCTCAGAACTTATCAGAGTCTTACGATTGTGTTCTTTCCTGTTTTACCTGTCTCTAAGAGCAAAGGCTGCCCGCAAATGGCATCAATAAGCTTTTCCTCCATTTCTGAGTGTCGGAGGTGTCATAAGAGTTGCTCTGACAGGTTTTGGTAATGCGGTGTAAATGCCAACCTGGATTTGCATGTAGTAGCCCCACTGAGCAGGTTCTGTGAGTAATGAAGCTGCTCAAAGTGTTTACTTTGTGTTTGTTGTGGAAGCACCACTAGATACTCATTCTATTCTGCTTTGGTGAGGTGCTGATCACCTGTTCCAGCAGTCGGTACTTCAGTATAAATTATTTTCATTTTACTTGCTGTACAGATTTAAATGAAAGATGCAGTTTTATTACAAAAAATACTAACAACTGGGGGATAAATACACTTGATTTTGTGCATACTAATTATATATTTGAAGAATTTCACAAATATATGTTAAATAAAGAAAATCTTAAATGCTGATTTCCTGATTTGAAACGTGTGCTGCAGGTGTTCTGACAGACACACTGCCTGTGTGTATGTGTTAAAGTTGCTTTAAATTTTGAGGATGGAGTGTCGGTGGGGGTTGATTCCCATGCTCCCATCAGCACCCAACTCCATACTCCATCTCTGCTGGCTTTTGTTGCTGCAGGCTGCATGTAGTTAAAAAAAAAAAAAGAGCAAAAGAGGGGAGAAAACAGAAAGAGAAGGAGAGGGAGAAAGAGTAAGAGTCCCTAGAGAATTGGGGGGGCTGGTCTGTAGCTAACACTGTTAATAGCAGGCAGGGGTCAGCAGCGCTACTAAACAGCCTGTACGACTGCCAGGGTGGCTGTGAAAACAGCACCTGCTGGTAGCACCACTTGACAAAGGCAGCTGGGTCAACAGCCACTGTGGGAATTTATCAACTTTGGGAGGGGTGGCGTATGTGTGAGAGTAAGGGAGTGGGAGAAGGCGATAGTGCTTCCACAAGAGTTACAAGTGGAGAGACAGAAAGAAAACAACTAAAGTCAGAGAGTGGTATGAGACACTGATCATGCCATAACTGAACATAAAACAGAGCAAAAAGTGACAAAGCACGCAAGCACAGCTGCAAAGATAACATACAGAACAGGGCAGATGAATGCAGGATCAGGTTCTTTGTGTCCTCTCTTCTTCCCTTACGTCAGCTAAACATTAACAGTGACCATCCTTCAAATCTTCCATGTCGAAGGAGTGCGAATGCTCTGCCTCAAACTTGTTGTCAGTGTGTATCTGTGTTTAGCTTGTTAGCTCGCAGGGTCTGTTTGATTGACACGAGGTGTATGTGAGAAAAGGGCTATGGAGTGGTGTACACTGTGCACTCTAACAATGGCCTAATCAAACGGCCCAGTGTGGTCTCTTTTGCTGTTTTGTCATCCAACTCCATTGTTTGGGGGCTCCTTTTGTAACTTCTTTCCTTGTTTTAATTGTGTAAGAAATTTACTGTGTATTGTAGGAGCCAGGGCTATTCAGTGGGACTAGCAAGCAGCTTTGTCAAGGGGAGGACCACAGCGGAGATGTAGGAAGATTTAGGAGGGATAGGAAAATAAAGAAAAGACTTTTTTTTTTCCTGTAGCGTGCTGGGAGCTGGCGTACCACACACGCACACAAGCTCGCATGTGCGTGTGTACCCACCACCCACATGGTTTACATCTATGCACACAACACACAGAAAAGCACACATACAGATAAATATATCCACGAAGGAGCACCCGTGGTCTCCTTCCTCAGCACATCTAGTGATTTGTGACTTCCATGTCTAATGCAGTTCATAAAGGAGGTCCCAGGGCCCTATTTGAAGTTCACTGTGTCTTTTTAAGGGCTCTGCTCACTGTAATTCAATCAGTCTAGCTTGCAGCTGACAAAACCCGAACGTGTGAAAAGTCCTTCTCAATACTGCTTTCCCTGTGACGAGCTGCAACATGAAGAATGGCAAATTGCATTTTGTACCAGAAAGCAGCAGGAGATCTGGCTCTATATGTTAATTAAGCTCCTGCCAAGGACTGACCGTAGGAGCAAGGTGGGGGTGCAACGTGGGGATTCTGAATTATGATGTGATAAACACGTAACTTTACTGTATGACCCTCAGAACAGGTAAAAGGACATAAAACAGGTTTGTTCCTGGCACAAATATAATGCTTTCACTGTACAAATAATTGTTATTAAATGCAGACTCAGTGGGACAGAAAAGAAGCAAAACCCAGGCCCTGAATACCTGCAGTATGTTCGAGGCATACTCGGGAGTGCAGAACCAGGGTTACTGATGTATGTTAAAGACAAGCAACAAAGGGTGGAAATTACATTTAATCACTTTGCTGTGGAAAGGTGAAACATTAAACATGCTTACACAGATACCTATTCTTATCCTCTAAACTCTAAGGTCCTCTCATTGATCATTAAACCACAACCACATCTTACAGTCACCACACTGAGATACGGTCAGTAAAGATATTAATGATAAATATTAATGCATATTTCTATCCCACTGCAACACCAAAAACAAGCCGCGCCTTTCTACATTCTTGCTTTCTCTCGCGTACAACCTCAGTCACACCACACCCATTCGGCATGTTTCAAAATGCATGGTGGCCTATTTATTATTGGAGGGGTACTCCAACTGACAAACAAATACCTAAAAATGAAGTCATTTGGCCAGGACGTGTTTACACAAACACTGCTGAGGGATTTTATGGTTGATGTTTCCTTGTAAGCCTTTACCGCTCCCCCTAACGGTTCCTCTTTTTCCCACTCTATGTTCCCAAACACAAAGTTGATTAAAACACAGCGTGAGATGCTATACCGGGCCACAAAAACCACCACACTCTAAAACAAACCTCTGTCTGAATGGGCTTCAGAGTCCAGATGTCCCTGCAGTAGGGAAGAGAAAAGAAGGGAGGACCACCAGACTTGATAACGTGCTGGGGTCAGACACGTTAGCTACCCTATTCATTTCCCCCCCCTTTGCCCCCTCTCTCCATCCTCCCTGTAACAAAATCCTAATAACGAAGCCAGAGTGTATTAGGAGTCAGGACTCTAACACCACAGGGTCCACACAAACTAAACAAGTCCAGTTGATGGTGGAAAGAACTGTTCTCTGGGAGAAACGCGTCCAGCAGCCATGCCAGAAAACATAAATACGAAGCAAGCCATCAGGGCCCCCTTTGAAACATCTGTACTGTAATTAACTGTGCTAATGCCTGGGTGGCACTGCCGTCACCCAGGAATAATAAGATGTGAATATGTTTCTATTGTGTTCTTTCTCCTCAGTATGCTTATGCTACTTTATTTACTTCTCTTAATCACAAGCCACTCATTCACTTGAACCGGTAGGCCTACAGGATCTTATGCTCTCATCTCCCTGCAAAAGCACTGATTAAAAAGATAAAGCACAATCACTGAGTGGGTTTGGCTTGAGACATTATATGCAGTTGGTTTGAATTACAAAGTCTTCTTATGTTTGAAGTGATTTCTGTACTGCAAATATTACGGATCAAACTTTTTATACATCCCTCTTGTATTTTTGTGGGTCAAATTCATTCCGTTTTCATATTTCCTCATCTTGAGTGACAAATGTTTTTCACATGTACTTGGCTCTCCAAGCAGAGTTTATAGATCTATCACTATCAGAATGATTTCTAATACTGCGATGCATATGGTAAGGATTATGATATGGTGACATGTACTGACATATAAATGATGAAGCTGCACTTGTGCACATGTTCCCTCCACAGCTAATTAAGCATTAAACTGGAAAAGAAATGGATTTCACCTCCCAAAGGGAAGTAGACGTGTGCTGGAGGGTTCGAATCCACCACCCAGCTGTGGTCTTCTCTGCCTGCGTGTTTGAGCTTCCTCCCACGGTCCAAAGATACGCATGTTAGGTTAATTAGTGCTTCTAGACTGGATGTAGGTGTGAATGGCTGTCTGTCTCTCTGTGTTAGACTACAATAGACTGGCGACCTGTCCAAAGTGTACCCCACCTCTTCCCCTATGACAGCCAAGATAGACTCTAATCCCTCTGTGACCCTGAATTCAATAAGTGGAAGAAAATGAATGGATAGTGTATCTACATGGATATTTTGGCTATACAGAGTTTGTCCATATCACCCTGTTAGTGGTTAATATGTTGAAATGTCGCTACTTGACAACAGGTGTCTTTGTCTTTTCCCTCACACTTACCAAAATATCACTGTTGCATATTTAGCATCTAACCAGTAGACAAAAGTTGAATAAAGCAATAGAATCAGTGCTGCTAGCAGTGTTTTTCTAAGCAAACAATTTGAAAGGCTATTTTTTTTTCTCCAGTAACCACTCAGCATCCATTCTGGGAAGCTGTAATGTGCATAAACAATTCTACTTGCAGGAATGTGTGTAAGCAGTGAGGATGACACTGTTCTTCAATGTGATGATCTATGAGTAACTAAGATCTCATAATATGCTGTTAGGTTCATCTAAATTTCACAACAAAACAATCACAGCATGAAAATAAAGCTGGTGGTTTACTGTAGTTCTTCCATCTGTAATAGGCAGTCCTGATTAGGGGTGTTACCGGATATGACTTTGCTAACAGTGAAGTATTCACCTGCATTAACACTTGGTGTGCAGCAAGTCAGAACAGCAGAGGTGTGTGGGTACGAGGATTGTAAAAAATATGTATATGTATATGTGTATATATATACACATATATATACATACATACATATACATATATCTCAATACTAAGAAACTAACTGACAATACAAAATTAATACTGATTAGATCATCTTTAGCAATAGTATTGATATCGGCACACACACACACACACACACACACACACACACACACACACACACACACACACACACACACACACACACACACACATCATAGATAACTGCGTAGAACCTAGCTGTTGTCTACAAGCATTATCCATCTACCGGTAACTATTAACAGTTACCTTATAGCCACACTAGCTGTCTATTATCATTAGTTAAGAAAGAGGCTAGCAGCTATGGCTGATATAAAAAAAAAAATGATAACCTTAATGCTTGAGAAAACCTCCTGCCTGTCTGTAATCCTAATACAATGAGTTCATTTACCATGATATCACAAATATTTGTATCTAGAAAGTATTGTGTTTCTTTTGTTTTTGATCAAAAATAAAAAATATGGTGCCAAGTCACGAAAAGTGCAGTGCAACCTCAGCCAACCTTACATGTTTACCTTACTGTATTTTCTTTATGTCTGGCAACCTAAAAATGCTGTCATCATTGATGTTATTCGTTTTATTGTTCTAAGAGGAAGTGTAATTTTTATCAAAATCAAAAATTCAAAAATTGTATCTAGTATTTAGAATATTTTCCTGGGTATAAGTGTCAAGCTTGAAAATCAAGTATCGTGACAACCTTAGTACATACAGCGTTTGCTGCTTCACCTTTCAGATATCATCCTCCTGAATTATTTTTCCAAACTTTAGCTGTGATTATGAATTCATGATATCGGTTAAACAACTTCACACTGTTGAATTATTTGCTTGTATTTTTTAATTTTTTTAACCTCCTTAACTTTTTAAAGCTGCGTTAATATGCCTAAAACAGTTAACGGTAAGAATTGGCTAATAGGCTAATAACATGCTAAGGTAACAATTATAATTGCTGTCTAAAAAAAATCCCAAATTCTCCAATACTTGGGAATGGCTGTCCTGCTTGAATATACTGAAAATAATCTGTGTTGTTGTTGACAGGAATCACAATCAACACTTAAAGCTACTGAAAATGTTGTTCAGACTAACTCGAGCGAATAACTCAATTACAACCTTTGGGGAATGAGTTTATAACTAAACTCAACTCAAGAGAGAGCGATTTACCAGTAGTTTTGTCTCTCATTGTCTTGGTTTGCCCTCTTGTGGACGTAATGCAGGATTTTTTAATGAATAGCTGAATGTCCTCCCCACTAAGAAGGAATCACTTAATCATCGAACAACTAACTACATACCAGCACAAATTACCAAGGGACTTCCTGCTTTTACCTTTTCGGGTCCACCAGCTTGTAGAGTTTCCCGCTGTGTGACTGCACCATGCTTTTACTACTTGCAAGTATGTAGACTTCACCTGCAAAAGAAGAACAGTTAAGTGGGAATGCCATCAGCATCATCTGCATGAAATACTTCCAATGTCCGAACAACTATTCAGCAGATCCCAGTGCCAAACTAAAGAAGAGACAAGACAAGACAAGGAAACACAAGAAAATGAAAGGGGAGGACATGAGGGGTTTAGGAAAATGAGTGTATCACAGGCTTCTACATTTCTGCACTTGCCAATGGATTTTAAAAAAGAGTTTAATGAGACAATTGGATACTCATGACTGGGAACCAGGCAGATGATTTAATGAGGAACAAGCCTGCAAGAAAATTCCATAGGGGGACAAATTGTAAACATCTGTCTGTGGGGCCTCTTTTTTGGGACATAGGCCTGGCCCCCACTGCAATTCTTGCACCACTTGCAAATCCTGATCGAATACAGAAATCTTTAAATATCTCGTCAAACAATAACTCCAAGACCTGGCAACAACTGTGATCAAAGATTTCTGATGGCCGGGCGAACAATTTACATCATGTGTTCATTTTAATCAGAAACATCAGAGCTCACGGTTTACAATTCTTCGAGTGTGTGGTGGGGATCCAACTTATAAAACTGTCTTCTGTCAGTTCATTTCAGGTTACTCTGCATATATTAACTTAATCTTTAACTTGCCCAGAGAAACACTTAACACATGTCATGGTGGCACAGTGAATTAAGGAGGTTTGGAAGATTATGACTATCCTACAAAAATGACAACTAACTAAGATGTTTGGACTACTTAATGAGAGGCGTGTTGGCTTTAACATCCATCCATCCAGTCGCATGTTTATCAGGGTTGTGGGGGGCCTATCTCAGCTAACATAGGGTGAGAGGCAGGGTACACCCTTGACAGGTCACCAGTCTGATGCAGGGCTAACACATGCACACTCCACACAGAAAGGCCTTGGCCAGACAGTGGTGTTTTGAGGCAACAGTGCTAACCATCACGCCACCATGCTGCCTGTTTTCAGATTTTCAGTGGTGTTTTATGCTGTGGTTATGTGTGTTATGTATGTATGTGCTGTACACACAGACATACACACACAGAGTCAACAAGCCTTCAAGGAGTCATGGATTAAAACCCTTGCTTCAGAAAATATGTCATAACATAGGTCAGGTGTAAATCTAAAGAAAGATCAGTGCAAGAGAGAAAAGAAACAAAGATAAAAGATCTCAGAAGCAATTACATTTTTAGCTTTTTTATTAATTGCCATACTAACCCAGTTCATCCTCTCCAAAACCCAAGATGTGTCCAACAAGCATAGTGCCACAGGAGTCAGCTGAGCCCAGGCACAGAGCTTTTTCCTGCCACTCTTCACCACTCGCTGATGTGGAAGATGTAGACTTCTGAAGGATGCGAAGGTTACTAAAGTGAAAAGTAAAAATACTCATGGTAAGTGACTGCAGACTGGATGATACTGTAAAAGGTTTAGTACTACATTTGTGCACAGGGGAGAAAGCAAAAGAAATCAACTGTAGTAGCATGGTACAGCATGGTTCATGACCCATCTTCTTTTTCTACACCATGTCCCACATGGTGTTAGTTAGGAAGTCAGCCTTTAGTTTCAAAACAAACATCATGCCGGAGCCTTCACTTTGCCACAACAAAATGCTCCCAAATTGTAATAAGGCACAGAATTAACTGACCACACATTGTTTTAAACACGGTGCCAGCTTGCGATAATTGGACGGATTGGGGAGGGGACACACTTTACCCCCTTTGTTTACTCAACTGTCAGTGTTTGACATCAGCAAAACAGAGAAAACCAGAGAAACCAGAGAAAAGTGTGAACAGCACAGAGAACAATGTGTAATCTCCACTGACACTCAATGGTCCTCGCTGTCATGGTGACATGGGAGTCTATGTTTTCCTCCCATGTGGATGAACTTGGTGTTTACACTGGCACATGCTAATGCAAAGGAAATAGTTTTTAATATTAGAAGAAAAGTCATGTTGATCTTACTAAGTCATAAATCAACTCTGGGAGGATAAAGATGTTAGAATGACTTTGAAATATAGAATTTTGTCATCATGTAAACAGTTAATTCTTAAAAACATACAGCTACTTAAATAGTCTCTTTAAATATATTAATCAGTCATTTCTTTATTGTACTTACCCATTTTTATCTCCAAAGACATAACTGCCATAAAGTCTCCTAGACTGACAGCCCCTGTAGATGAAACCCCCCACAGGTGGTGCTCCACCACTGGAATGCAGGTCATAGGCAGAGGGCTCATTTTCTATTGGGACAAGGAGACATAGGTCTTATTTAGGCACTTCCAATAGACTCATAGACCTACTGCCATTCATCTGTAACACCATCACAAACTGTCTGCATGCATGTTTTATCCCAGAGACAATCTCTTCTGTCTCACTGATGTTGCAGGGATTGTAATCTACTTAACTGCTTTTCTTGATTCATGCACTGGTGTTGTTTTGTTTGTTTTGGAATCAAAAACATAGACCATGTTCATCAGACATAATTGCTGTGTTGTTTATATGAGACACAAAAAAGGAGGAAAGAGGGAATTCTAGATTTAAATCGGACGTGTTTTATCAAAACTGGAAAAGAATGTATTGATCTTTTATTCAAAGGCGTGATGGTGAGGCAATGTGGCACATTTACTGGATTACGATTTCTTGGCAAGGAAAAATATGAATGGAGGTTTGCCGCCCTTAAAAATTTATGATCCGAGACGGGGTGTGCTCATTTCCCAACCGTAATCACTTTGGAGTTTGGGTAACTGGCTAAATCGGGCATCAGGCCAAGAGAGAGGTGGTCTGTGGCAAGAAGTGACATTTTCAAATGGAGTGAGAGATCAAAGTTAAGGATTAACTTAGCGCAAGGATAACCTGCCTCATATATTTTGGAACAAAGAGCTGTAATTTTCTTTTTGTGGAAAAAGGAAGGATAAGCAGTGTAAAGTGCTGCTGTTATTGATTATTTTCTAAATGTGAGAAGAGCTAGATTCCTCTCAGCTGTGTTTTCAACAGCGCCAAACCATCATCTAGACAGTTATTATTGTTGACAGCTTTAAATCTTACTTGTGGACACCATCTTACATTCCACTGGCAAATCTACACACCACAAGTGGGGAATATTTCTGGATCACATCATTTTTACATTTAACCTTCACTGTTTCTGCACTCAACCTGGTGTGTTTCTGAATCTGTTGCCAAAACACTGTTCTTACAAAATGAAAGACATTCATAAAAACACATGTCACTTTCAGGGAAATAAATGTGAAAGGTTATCCAGGATGTTAATGTATTTTCACTTCATTCTCAGGATGTAATGCAATCAAACAAAACTCCAGCAAAGACTGTGCACAACTGGGTATATTAAAACTCCTTCCAAACATGCGAAAAAGGTAAATATTGTGAACATTTTTGGAAATTCTCATGGAAATTGTAACTCACCATAATCGCCCCCCTTAGTAATTTCCAGTATTCTTCCTGCTGTTGTGTTTCTGCCACTGGCATCTGTACAGAGGATTACAAGACTCCCATTGTCTGACTGAAGTCGATCCACTGCACACCTACAGAGCACAGCGTGCCAGGAATGAATATAACATAACTAGAAGTAATATCCAAACACCAAACAAATAAAAGGTGGCAATACAACAAAAGCACAAAAAGGTAATTTGCATGCAGTTGACTATTTCTTTATTGTAACGATGCATCTTGGTAAGAACTTTTATACCGTTGGAAAGCTTGTTTATTTCCCATTAAAGCTAGTGCTACATTTGTTCTGGGTTGAGCACCAGAGTTGAGCATGTGCTGAACAGCTTGTTCTGCTATTGAGTCTTGTTTCGAACTTCTAGTAGCCTAGTTGCTGACAATCAGGTGCCTGACTGGCTAGTGTTTAGCAGCATCTTGGGATGAGCACGGACCGTGGTACACCGGTCAGTTGGTGTATGCCCCAGGCCATGTTTGACTGATCTTTATAGGGCTGTCCCATAGGGCTACTTCCAGCTGATGTTAAGCAAAAACCAAGCTGCTGCATTATTTGGAGGGAGGCCTACTGCCACCTCCAAAGTGAAGTTCCATAAATTGGGCAATGCCAGAGACAGGCTACAAGGTAGGCGTCTCCGTCAGGTTGTTTCCTCACTCTCAGCACTTGTGAATCATAGGCAGTCTTCTACAAAACTACAGTCAAGGTTTGCAAGATGACACGGCCAACAGCTTTCTACCAAGACAACCCTGAACAGTCTGCACACAGCTAGTCTCCAGTCTCACAGGGCTGCCATGACTGCCTTCCACTGCTGGCATCAGCAACATGTGCACAGGAACCTGAACATGTGGAGGAACGTGACATTTAGCAGTAAGTCCAGGTTGATGCCATCACACAGGAGTGTGACCAAGCTGGTGACCAGCTGTTGTGGCTGTGTATAGTTCTATATAGCATCAAATGACAACAGCAGTCACCTCAACATACTTTATACTGACATACTATATACTAAGGTAGAGACCCTACAATAATACAGAGAAAATCCCAACAATCAAATGAGACATTTTGATCAAGCTCTTGGGAACAGTAGGAAGGAAAAACACTGTTTTAAAAAGGAAGAAGTTTTCATGGGTGCAGATCATATATCAAACTCTGTTGTTCAACCTGTAAATGGATTTTACTTGTGTCACCATATAAGAGGAAATAAACAGGCTTTCCAACTGTATAAGATTTATTGCCGGGAAGCATTGTTAACAACAGAGAAACAATCGACCCAACACAAAATGCCTTACAGTTTGTGCTAAGTTCATATTTTCTACAAGAGCAGTAATGAAAATACCCTATAGTATGAGCAGAATTTCTACATTTGAAAATTGCATATCAGTCATAGCAAGAATCTTTAAAGAGTGCAGTGTTTCACTTACCTGCCTGGATCATGTAATCCATGTGCAAAGATTTCAGGTGGCTGGTTGGTGCTGTTGAAGTAAGGATTGCTCCGTGGTATGGAATATGGAGAAGCACAACTATCTGTGTCTATGTCGACCCTTAGCACAGACCCCGTGAAATCACTGCAAGCAAAAACAAGAACACACATTCAAAATTGTACACGGTAGGTCACAATTGAAACATGGAGCACAAAGCAGTATATAAACATCAATAAAATGACCCTTGGACTTTTGATCTTACCTCAGTCCATCCATTTCTTCCATATCATCCAAAGTGATCATGCCATCTCCCAGGATGATGTGCAACAGACCATCAGGACTAAAAAGAAGTTGGCCCCCAAGGTGCTTCCTATGCAGCTCCGCCACTTCCATTAGTACTCGGACTGTCCTTGTGTCTACCTGGTTTGGGTTCTTCCTGAGAAAATCATAAAAAATTGCAAATGCAAAAAATATTTTTGCTAAACTGTATTTATAAGGAGTACCCACAACATTTCTATACCTTGATGCTTTTACGCTGTCTTATAAATAAATAAGGGGACTTTTGTCTGCTCCCTTATTTTTAAAGGGGTCTGGGTTCAAATGTATGATATCTGAAAGTGGACAGATGGCCAAAAACGTCATTCTGACTGATGTAAAAGCCCCAAACATATGGTCATATAGTGTTTTAAAATATACAATAAAAGATAATGCTGTTAGCCCTGCGTCAGACTGGCGACCTGTCCAAGGTGTACCCCGCCTTTCGCCCTATGACAGCTGGGATAGGCTCCAGCGCCCCCCGCGACCCTGAAAAGGATAAGCGGAAGCGAATGGATGGATGGAAGATAATGCTTTTTGTAAATGAATTTTCTGAACTGTTATCTGCTTTTTCTTGACAAATTTGGTGCAACTTTATATCACACAGACTGTTAATGGGGAGCTGGCAGGTTAAAGGCCATTCAATTCAGCGTTCATGTTTTCACATGTGAAAAGCTCATGGTGATAGTGCATGTTATACATGCACTATCACGATGGATTGTCTGTTTGCTTCAAATAATGACTCTGTTAATGGGTACAATGACACCAAGGCATGGATAAGATATGCTGACATGACACGCGGAACAAAATCCAACATTAAATTACTTTAAATACTTTGTTTTCTGCAGACATTTAGTCTTAATCTAATGTATCGCCAAAGACAGTGGGTGGAGATGTAAAGACAGGGTGCAAAATGTTGCACAATTTCAAGTGAAGTGCAAAATGAGAATTTAGTTTCACAGTATCAGCAACTAATATGGCAAGTTGCGTTGTTTTGGGTAGTCGTGCAATTTTTAAAAAGCCTAAAGTAAAAAAAAAAAAAGTATTTTAAGCTACCATTAAGTACTTTAACTACCATTTCTCTATTGGACCCTCAAATTAAGGACTATGTGCTGCAGTTACCAAGACTGCATGCCAAGATTATAATTAAGATTAGATCATTAAGTCAAACATACAACTGTGATTATGAAAATTAAAATGTAACACTTAAACATGTTCGTGAGAAAAGATTGTTTTCTTAATCACAGGTCATTGTGAAGGGAGTGTAAGGTACAGACACAGGAAAAGGCAAAACAGTGTTATGATAATGAGAGTGTTGCACATCTTATCAAAACACTGTTCTTGGCGATTTGACCTACTTTCTAAATCCTCAAAAGACAAAAATGATCTGTTTTGATTTCTTTGCATGTCTAGAAGAATCCTCAGTGTGCCTTTGAAGGTTTTGTTACCATGGTTTCTTGCAGAAATTGAGGTTAGCAGGTTGGATTTATTAGTGGTATAATCAAAAGATCCACAATTCAGTAATCAGAAACTTCCATATGAGAAAAGTTTGTCCTTTTTATCCGGTTGTTCAGTCTGACGTCACTAGCCGTGTCTGGACCTAAACTCCGCTGCAGGTCCATATATCAAACGATCACTATGGCAATACTGAGAGTTGAAAAACTGTCTAAAGTCTTTCATCTTTAATAAAAATGATCAGCGTTCTGCTCTACCAGGTGTAACAATTGAGTTTAACATCCAGGCATCCATGAAAACGAAATTTATGACATTTAACGGAGTTAGAAGTTAGAAGCTAGCGAGCTAACGAGCTAACTCCCTGCTATCTAAATACAATATAGCATGTCCTGACTGCGGGGTTTTGGAAACAAATTAAAACGTACAGCTCTGTTATCACTTCCAGCATAAATGAAGACAGAAAACTAAAAAGCAGTGACGTTTGTAGGGTTACTGAAGTTGGGCTAGCTGGTATATAATGATGTGCTACGTGACAGCTAGCGACACAGCTATGTTAGCATAATATAAACAAGCTAACTTTTTTTCCACTCGATAAAAGTTAACGTGAGTGTTCTCGGGGTCAGGAACAAATGTAATCGCATGGCAGGATGCTGTAAAAGGACCAAACTTCAGCCAGGAGAACAACTGAAATAATCCATCCATAATACGAGGTTAGTCATTCATATACTGCTGCATGGGCTGGGCTGTAGTTACATCCTAAGGTTTTAAAAACTGAGCTTAAATAAATGATTAGCGGTAATAAAAGCCGAGGGAGGTCAACAGTGATCACTGACTGTTTTAGAAGTGTTTTGAGATCAAATAGAAGAAAATACATAACATTAAACATGTTAACAACACAAAAGCCATATTAAACGCAGACTACTTTAGGCCCGGAAGTAGGATTCGTCATGTCATCACTGAACAACCGGATAGTGTTTAGAATTTAAATAAAATTAAAAACAATGGGAAATGGGAATGTTCACCACATTTCATAGGTACAGTACTACAAATCACAGTTGTCTAAAATGAAAACTGTTTTGCATTCATGTGCTAAAGATGTCTTAAAATAAGTTTGCATATCCAGTCTCTATTAACCTCGACCTTTTATGTACCCTTATGGTGTCATTTCAGGCAGTGGTTTGGTGCACTACTTCTCCCATTACCTCGAAACGGTGTATTCAACTACACGGAGAATGTGGTCGTGTGGTCCGATGGCCCAGCGCTCTTGGTTGGTGGTGTAGGAGACGTAGAGCTTGCCATTCTTCTTATAATTGGGGTGGAATGCCAAGCTTAGCAGGCCCCTTTCATCTCCGCCCTGCAGTCAGATGATAAACACAAAAGATCCAGGAGTTAATTATGTCCCTGCTTGGCTTGTGCTTGGCTGTGTGGGGTTGGAATCACCCCCCTTGGTCATCTTCATCATCCCCAACACACAGTCTCTATACATCCATAACCCCCTGCCTGTTTTAGTTCTCCCACTGTCCCCCCCCCCTTTTTTTTTTAAATTTGACGTTCATCTTCCCTTTCACTTCTTTGCTTTTCTCTCACTCTTGCTTCTATTTCACTACACACCTTTAAAAAATATACTTTTACCAATCATTAGGAAGCATTTGACTCAGGGTTTAGCAGCATCTCCTCTGCAAATCATAGACTTTGCCAGGTCTTCTGCAGCCTGTTTATGTGCGCCTGTCCCCAGGGTCGGGGGCCCCAGTGACGCCCAGACCCTCCCGGTGGCCTCTATTGTGCGGTGATTTGTGTGTGTAATCTTTGGGGGATATCTGTGAATGCTATGCTGAGTGGCTGAAAGAATTTATTAGCTCACTCACAGTTCATAGAGAACACAAAAGTGCAGAGTGCTTCAGTCCCTGCTTTTCGCTCCCCATCCCCTCACTCTTCACTGATTTACACAAAATCCATGCAAAATACGAGGCTTGGAAGGTGGT